CATTCCGTTATGCTGAGCTATTAGCCAAGCCACTCCACTCCACGCCATTCCATTCCCCGCAAAAAATTGCGTTAACCATGGTTGGACCTGGCCCCTCGCCCCTTCACCAATCACCCAGCCTCACCACACGCGCTGCGAACGCATTCAGTGGCGCATGGTGCTGCGCCCAAAAATAAAAATAATAAAAATACAAAGCAACAAAACAAAAATATATACAAAAAAAAAAAAAAAAAAACAACACATAAAAAAAGAAGCACTTGAAAAACTTTGCAATCAACGCGGCGGACTGATTACAATGCCCGGGCAGCGCAGTCAGCGGCGACGCCAGCGCAGGCTCAGCGAGTAGAGTTGCGGAGAATGAGGGAGAGTGAGCGAGAGGGAGAGACGCGTGAGGGTACGTGCACAAATGTGCAATGTGCGTGGAGTTTTGCAGGAGTCAAAGTGCTTGCTTACACACACACACACACACACACACTTACATAAACACACAGACACACACATACACACTCATGCATGAATCCAATATATTTTCGCTTGGCATTTGTTGCGTTTCGAGATGTTTGTTTGGACGACGTTGTATTTTGGTTGTGTGTGTGTGTATGTGTGATTGACAGTTGCCCCATTGATAAGAGTTGGCGTTAGTGCGGGGCGGGGCGGAGGTCGTTTCATATTTTTTATAATTGAAATGCGGCTGCCTAAATGCAGTCAAAAGTTATGCGAGCCTCAAAAAAATAAAACAACAACAAAAAACCGCAAAAAATATGATACGCATACGCAGCTAAACAAGAACAGCGGGAGTGGAAGAGAAAGAGTGAGAGGAGGTAGAGACGGCGACGAGGACGACGACGATGACGCTGCATAAAATGCAAGCACAGCGACAGTTAAGCCTCGGCCTAAAGGTATGCTACAGAAGGAACAAAATTGCATGAAAGCAACAGCAACAGCAACAAAAACAACGACGACGACGACGAAGCGAGCAGGCAAATGAAAATGTGAAGGCGCACGTAAAGTAGAAGGAGCAGCAAACAGGAGAGCGAGCTGGAGCAGGAGAGTGAGCAAGAATGTAAGTGAGCGTGAGTGTGTGAGTGAGCAGGCAACGTCAGACGAGCGAAGCTTACAAAAAAATAGAAACACACACAAGTAAATAAAGAAGGTATTTGTTTCAAAATTAAATACGCACGTGTACATGTGTGTGTGTGTGTGCATGTGTATATTTCTGTATATATTATGTGTGTGGTTGTGTTTGCAGCTGCAGTCTGTGCATGGAAAGCAAAGGGTAAAAGAAAGCAAAAGTTGTTGCTGCTTCTGCTGCTGCTGCTTGCTGATGTTGTCTTTTTGCCGTTATTATTTTTATTATTCTTATAATTTCTAGACGTGCCCAAGCAGAGATGAAGAGGAAGAGCGAGCAAAACGTGAAAAAAACACAACAGCAACAAAAAAAAGGAAAGTGTAAAAGCAAAAGTATTTATGAAGCGGCAAATGCGGCTGAGCTGTGCTAGGCGAAGAGCGGTGGAGAGCTGGAGAGCTGGAGAGCGAGAGAATGGAAGAGCGGGAGAGTGGCAAGCGGTGTAGAGTCATGGAGAGCAAGAGCACAGCCATTTACACTCATGTGTGCGTTTGTGTGCGTGTGTCAGCGTCAATGTCCGACAACGACTCCAGACAGCGACCGCGTGTGTACGGGGCCTCTGCTACCTTTCTTTTTTCTTTGTTGCTATTTATTTTTCGGTTTTTGTTTTTTAGATAAATTTTTATTTGAATTTATGCACATGTGCGTTGCACACGTGGGTCTGTGTGCGAGTGTGTGTGTGCGGGAGTGCGGGAGTGAGGAATGCGCTACGCAAGATTTTGTGGACATTGCCGACCTAAGCAGCTGCAGTTGCAGCAGAGCAAATTCAAAACTTTACTCACATACATACATACATATGTATATGCTATGCATATATGCTATAGTTATCGATAGCATTTGTCAAATTGTTTATCGTTATCAGGACATTGCATAGCGCCCAGCTCGAGATATGCTAGTCGAACATTTGTCGACTTCGTTGGGCTGCAGTCGTTGCGTTGCGTGTCGCATGGGGTCGCACACAGCACACGTTGCCCTCTGTACATGTGTGTGTGTGTGCGTGTGTATGAGTACTGCAATACCAGCCACCCCGCGCCTCCGCTCTGACGGCTCTTTCGTGCGTCGCTTGAATTCGTCAAGCGTTGCAACAAAGTGCGTTTTGTACTTTTTCTTTGCACTGGCGTCGACGCTGTCGTCGTCGTCGTTGTCGCTGTCGCTGTTGACGAGCAAAAACACACACAAACACACACACACACACAAAACAGTAATGGCAAAAGCTTTCGCCACACACATGTGCACACACGCACACGCAGCAGCAGAGCCAAGAAATATAATAAAAACGACAGCGACTATTTTTTTTCGTCTGTTTTTTTTTTTGTTTTTGTTTTTGTTTTTGCTGCTTGTTCACAAAAAATGTTCGCTTAAAAAGGCAGAAGCGGCGACATTTTAGCAGCAAGGGGGGAGCGAGGCGACGAGCGGGATCCCAAGCGTGTGTCGAAAAAGAAACAAACGCGAAAATAAGAGAAAATCAAAAGAAGCAGAAGAAAACGTAATGTGAAAATATATTTGTGCCGGAAGCTAAAAAATGTGATGTTTTTTTTTTTCGACGCTGCTGCCGCTGCCTTCTGCGCTATGCTTAAATATTGCAAGTACAGTTGTGCGCGCTGCGCCTAAATGCACGCTTCAAATACTTTCCACTGGCTGCCAAATTATTATCTGATGTAGCTAGAGAGTGGAATGGGAGGGGGGAAGTGGGGGCAATCTGTCACAAAGGATTCGCCTTATCAATGCGAAAATATTGAAATTGAAAAACTGCAAAATGTTTTATTTAATTATTTTCGAATGCATTTTCGCGCTCTTCGTTTTGTGACATTTTTCTCATTTGGCCCGCTAGGCCGTTTGTTTCGTTGCCGGCGTCATAAATTATGGCCGGCCATAGGGGGAAAAATGGGGGAAAAGGAAAAAGAGAAAGAACAACTATTTGCAACACGAAATGACAAAACAATGAATGAGGCCAAATGGCAGCGCGACTTTCCCTATATGCCCGACTCTCTATGCGCTTCTCATGCTGTGCAAGTGAGGTTAGTTTGTGGAATTAGAAGAGGATTTTGTAATTTTTACATTTGAATATCTGGTAAATGGGAAATGCCAAAACACACATATGTACATACATATATATTGTATATAAAATGTATGCAAAGGCCACTCTCGATGCGCTTCCTAATCTGTAGAGCGACGTTAGTTTGTAACGGGAATTTGGAGGATTTCAATTTAAAGAGGATTTCATTATAGCTGATGCAAGTATGTGGGCGACCTTCTATGCGCTTCTCATGTTGTACATGAGGTTAGAAAGTGGCAAACTACAATGGCAGCGCCTCTCTATGCGCTTCTCATTGATTAAAGTAAGGCTAGCTTTGAATCAGAATTGCACGTAGCGCAGATCTAAAATAAATTTATTTCATGTTTACTTATTATTTAACATAGGTATATATAGGGTATATGCAATAGCGAATATGCTTTGGCTTAGATACGGCCTTACGTTTTGGCCATATTGAAAATTATAGTGTCGTAAACATGCAACTGCAATAGCCACGACGAACAATAACAACAACAGCAGCAGTAGCAGTAGTAAAAAAAAACAAAAAAAAATTAAATTAAAATAGAAAACAAACTCTCGAACATGGTCAGCAAATAAATAAAAAATGGTCAGGCTAAAAATGCTAAAATCAAATAAAACAAAAAGATGCTAGAAAAAAAAATGGTGAAAAAAGCGAATTGCAAGCGGAAATTGCAATAGCAATGTTTTGCCACTGTATGTGTGTGTGTGTGTGTGTGAGTGTGTGTGTGTGTGAAGTAACAAAATCCGCTGGCCGCACAAAAAACAACATTAGAAACCAATGCAAACTAAGCTGAAACACAAAAGAGGGAGAGAGAGAGGTAGAGAGAGAGAGAGAGAGAGAGAGCGAGCGAGAGTGAGGGGCGTAGGGGGCTAGATAAAGAGAAATGACATTTTACTGTGCGAAAACTTATTGCACAGAGTGTTTACAATATAGTATATATATAAGTATGCAAAGTGGGGGAGTATATGTATGTGTGCATGTGTGATAGAGATAGCAATACGTTTAGACAAAAATACGAGTGATTTCTGTTTTGTATAGATAGAAAGAGAGCGCACTACAACATGGAACAACAACAACAACAACAACAAAGAGTTTAAAAGAAGAAGAAATAAG